TTGTTTTGGAAGACAGTTTTGTAATACTTGGTGGAGTTAAAAATGGGTGCACCCAGCAGAAGGAGAGGTGTGCATAACAATGTACATATAGTTGTATCAAAATGCCTTGTAGCCTTCTTTGTAAATAGCAAAGAAGTGAAAATCTTCTACTGTCCTATAGTAGAGAAGTGGATTTTTTTAAATCTGTGGCTTTTTAATGTAATGGAATGTTACACATTAGTTCAAAAATGAACCCCACCTACATGTATCAACAAGGAAAATATTCAAACATTATTGAATAGGAAAAAAACACAAGTGAAAAAGGACACATCCTGTATGACACCATCATTTAGAATTTTTAAACCCACAAAACAATACCATATATTCTACAGAGATACATGCCTATGTAGGAAAAGCACAAAAACATGCATGAGAATGATAATATTGGGATAGTGGACCCTCTAGAGAGAAAGGGTGAAGGGAGGGATAAAGTAGATATTTTATTCATAGAAAAGGGGTCAGGATGCTAAAGCAAATATGACAAAATGTTGACATCTGATTATCTTAAGGGTGGGTCCACTGGTTGTACTTTCTTGCTCTCCACTTCCTTTCCCACCATCGAGACATGGATCCTCATCGTTCCTTGCCTGAATTACAATTGGTGAGCTGGGCTTACAGATGCCGCTTTTTCCTCATTCCAGGCCATCCTGCATTCTCTTTCTAGGCTAAACTTCCTTCCACATTGCTTTCATTATGTCATTTCCATGTCCTTGTGGTCCTCTTTCCTTCTGCAGTGAATGGAAACTCCTCAGCCAGCCAGGATTTCTAAACTCTTCTAAATCTGAACTCACCTTTCCTAGTCAACTACTCAAAACAACAGGCACTTTAAAATACAAATGGCTAACAAACTTATGAAAGAATACTCATGAATGCAAATTAAAACAAGTCATTTGCAGCTGTCAGTCAGCAAGGTTTTGTGTTGTGTATTTTTTAGGTGCTACTGCTCAGGAGTGACAGGAGAGTAATAAATTTGTCTCTTATTCTCTGCTGGCAGAAGTCTTAATCGGTGTCATCTTTTTGGAAGGCAATCTGGTGACATGAATTAAGAGCTTATGACATAATGAATCTGTTTCTGGAAATGTAAAGGAAATAATCTGAAATAAGGAAAAATCTTTATCCATAACTGTTATTTATAGTTACAAGCAATTAGGTATAACCTAATGCCAATTGATAGGATGCATGCACACAATGAAGGATTATGTTAAAAATATGTAAAAACATGGGGGAATACTTACACTTTCATATTGGTGGGGGTGAGTCAGTATTTAAAGCTGTATGACCATTAAGAGAAATCTTATATTTTACTACTGAGTTCGTTTTCTTTCTCTCCCAGCATGCCATTTCACATTTTTTTCTCTTCAAACCTCCAAAATTCCTTCTTCCCTCCTCTATTTATACATGTGAGTACCTCTTATTTATTAAGAAAATTCATCACTAAATTGTCCCATTTACCTATCCCTTCATATTCTGCCATCCTTCCTGTTAAAATCAATTAACTTTTCCTATCTCCAAGTCCAATTTGGCCACTACGTTTCAAGCCCTCTCACTTCCTCAGTGATTCTACTCCTGGCATTATCCCTTCTGTCTCCTGCAACATCAATTTCTCCTCTCTCTCGCTGCAAAACCACTGATTCTTCCCATTTCCAACATAGTCGCTCCAGGATAAAGCCATCAAATCTTTCACTGGGTAACTTCCAACACTAGCTAACCGCTCTTCCTATTTCCTCCCTTATCCCCATGCAGTCTTATAACCTTCCAATGGCTTTCTTCTGTGCTTATAATAAAATCCTAAATCTTTACCATGGCCTGTGGGGTCACACATGATCTGGGCCCTGCCTAGCTCCCATCTCTCTGCCCCCAGAGACTTGATATTTGCTACTCCCTCTGCCTAAACTACACTTTTCCTGATCTTTAAATGGGTCACCCTTCCCCATCTTTCACAACTCTGCTCAAATATCACCTCCTCAGAGAGCCTTCCCTAAACACCTTATCTCGAATGACTTCCCTTCTTCAATAAACGGTGTTGGGAAAACTGGGCAGTGACAGACAAAAGAATGAAACTGGATCCCTTTCTTACACCATACATAAGAATAAACTCAAAATGCATTAAAGACCTAAATGTAAGACCTCAAACTTGAAAACTCCTAGAAGAAAACATATGCAGTAAACTCTTAGATATCAGCATTGGCTGATTTTTCTACCATGTCTCCCTAGGCAAGGGAAACAAAAACAAAAATAAACAAATGGGACTATATCAAACTAAAAAGCTTCTACACAGTGAAGGAAACCATCAACAAAATTAAAAAGCAACCTACCGAATGGGAGAAGATATTTGCAAATAATAAGGGGTTAATATCCAAAATATATAAAAAAAACTCATGCGCCTCAACACCAAAACAAACAAATAAATAAATAACACAATTATAAAATGGGCAGCGGACCTGAGTAGACAGTTCTTTCTCTAAAGATGACATGCAGATGGTCAACAGACACATGAAAAGATGCTCAGCATAGCTAATCATCAGGGAAATGCAAACCAAAACCACAATGAGGTATCATCCCACACCAGTCAGAATGGCTAGTATTAGAAAGACAAGAAATAAGACAAGTGTTGGCAGGGATGTAGAGAAAAGGGAAGCCTCATGCATTGTTAGTGGGAATGTAAGTTGGTACAGCCATTAAGGAAAACAGTAAGGAGGTTCCTCAAAAAATTAAAAATAAAAGTACCATATGACCTAGTAATTCTATTTTTGGCTATTTACCCAAAGAAAACAAAACCACTAATTTGCAAGAATATATATACCCTATCTTTACTGCAGCATTATTTACAATAGGCAAGATATGGGAGTAACCTACGTGTCCACTGATAGATGAATGGATAAAGAAGGTATTGTACATATATACAATGGAATACTATTCAGCCATCAAAAAGAAAGAAACCTTGCCTTTCTTGACAACATGCGTGAAATTAGAAGGTATTACTATAAGTGAAATAAGTCAGACATAAATGCCATATGATTTCACTTATATATGGCATCTGAAAAACACAACAAACGAACAAATAGACTCATAAAAGCAGAGAACTGGTGGTTGCCATAGGGGAGGGGATGCAGGGATGGGCAAAATAGGGGAAGGAGATTAAGAGGTACAAACTTCCAGTTATAAAATAAATGAGTCATGGGGATGAAAAGGACAGCATGGGAAATACAGTCAATAATATTGTAATAACTTTGATGGTGACAGATGATAATTAGGCTTAGCTTACTGCGGTGAGCGTTGCATAATGTATATAATTGCTGAGTCACTATGTTGTACACCTGAAACTAACATAATACTCTATGTCAACTATATTTCAATTTAAAAAAACAGCTCCTGCATCCTCCTTAGCCTGGCTTGTTTTCTTCACAGACCTCATTGCCACTTGAAATGACAGTGTTTATTTATAATTCCCCATAGCTGTAATTAAAGCCCATTGTAGGCAAGGATTTATTTGCCTTGCTTATTATTGTATCACCAGCATCTAGAATAGTGTCTAGTATATGGTAGAAGCTAAAAAATATTTATTATGTGAATGAACTAAAATAAATCTACTTTGAAAAGACTAAAAGAAAATTATCTGGGAGGTAAGATTATAGGTTTGTTTCCACTTTCTTGATGCTTTCCACTATTGATTAAATTTTCTACATTGAATATATCTTTTATAACAAGGAAGAATACAACTATTTAAACTAACAAAATACAGCCTTTACTCTGGCCAGGCCCATTTTATCACTTCAGAACAAGCACTCGATGCATGTTCATTTCATCGTCACACCTTTTCTCGTGCCTTCTTTTCTCCCCTTACGTCTGATAACCCTCTTAAACCTGAGCTCATGGCCCACCTTCTCCATGCCACCTTTCCAGGATATTCCCATCCTCAGGGACTCCCTCCTGCCAAGACTTTGCAGGTAACTGGGTGTGGTGCGCTTCATTTACTCATTCTCATTCACTAAGCGTTTTCTGTTTGCTGTTGAATGTGTGTGTCTGTGAGAGAGAGGATACATATATACGTATGCTTAGTATGAGCTGATTTTCTCTTTTCAGCAGATACCGTGTCTTAGCCTTCTCCACTGGTCTCTACATAAAACTGATGGCAAAGTAAGGGCCCAATAAATACTTGGTGTGGAAGCTACTGGGTCTTGAAGCCAGGGTCTGGAAATTCATGTGCTCCTCCCATTATCCCATGCTCCACAGTGTCAGAAGCTGCTATTTACTGAACACCTACTGTGTGCTGTGTCCTTGCCATCCATTTTCCCTCTCAGCAAGAAGGAACTGCTTTTATTTTCATTTTAAGATTGAGGAAACTGAAACTTGGAAAGGTTAAGTAACTTGCTTGAAATGACAAAGCGTGAAGTGGTAAGGCCTGGATTGACAGAGCCTGAGCTCTTTGCCACTGTGACAACCGAAGGCTGATCTCCACTCACCCACTCGCCACAAATGTGCTTTACGTCGAGCCGCATGCCCATGGTCAAGTTACTTAACCTCGCCAAGTCTCGGTTTCCGCATTTGTTAAATGGAGACAAAACCACCTTACAGGGTGGTTGTAAACATCAAGATACGAGTAGTGTCTTGTGTAGTGCCCAGCGCAGAGCACACCCTGAGTCAATGGTAATTATTATTATGTGCTCTGCCACCTCCTTGGCGCTTGCGCTTTAAAGTTGGGTGTGGCAGCCCCGTCTCGTTCCTTTCTGCACAGTGACGGGCCGTGGGCAGGTCTGCATCTCCAAAGCCAGGGCTCGGAGCTCTGTGGCAGTGGAGAAGGTGCTGTCTGAAAAGCCTGGGCAGCAAGAACGCAAATAAGCAGCCCCAGCCCAGGTTCATGAGAGCTCGGATTTCCTTGGCTGAGTGTGTAATTATAGGAAGAAGGTTGTGTTTTTGTTTGTCATCCTGGCCCACTGATCTAAACATCTCTCGCTCCTCAGGAATTATTTTAGGACCAGGAAGCAGCACTCTGTTTATTGAAAGAGTCACAGAAGAGGATGAAGGCGTCTATCACTGCAAAGCTACCAACCAGAAGGGGTCCGTGGAAAGTTCAGCATACCTCACTGTTCAAGGTAAACAGCTGCTTCAGAAAGCAACCAGAAACTGTTCAGACGTCTATTTCCCTGTTTGTTTGACTTGCCACCTCCCAGTCTCCTGCTGCGCCCCGGTCTGTTCCTTTCCCTGACCTCCCCCACTCCGGTCCCTGTGGGAACGGCCTGTCTGGTTCCTCCGGGCAAGGCAGAAGGTGGCCACCCTGAGAGCCTGCCATGTGAACACAGTCTCTGCAGGGGAAGTAGGTCCCGGAGGAGAGGAAAGCCAGGGGCTGCCAGGTGATGACGCCGACCAGCACAGAATGACGGGGGTGACCGCACCTGGGAGGAGGAACTCCAGAAGGGAAGGAGACAGGTGGAGATGGAGGAGACAGCCCACACACTGGAAACTGCTCATTCTTTTCCCCTTTCCAATTCCCACGAGTTAGGCATATGCTGCTCTTCCAAATGTTTTCATCAGCTGCTTCTTAACAGGGAGTACACTGCAAAATATTATCGGAGAGAAACAGCACATAATAAAGAGACCACTTCTAAAACATATGCCAAGGGCTTCCTCTTTATAAGCCTCAGATAGTCTGTTGAGCAGCAAAATTCCACAGTGGCCTAATCCTACCCTGGGCTAATGGCCATGTGGCTTCCATTTAGAAAATCGTGTAGACCTCAATTCCAGTTCTCGAATGCCAAGAATCATCCAAAACCTAACGTTCATAACGGCATGAAATATCAAATTGGCACCCCGTAGATGTAAATATCTATGCCACACTGAGGTTTGACACAATAGATGTAATTTGTTCAGTAGCCCATTACCAAACATTCCCCAGGAGATTTCAGGGTATCTAAGTATTTCCAGGGGAGGCACCAGGGAGAAGGCAACATAATGAGCTCTTCCGGCCTGGAAACTTACCCTGCCTCAAGAGTGTAGCTGAATTTGGACCCCTTTAAAACAAAACATCACCCCCATTCATTTGTAAGGAGATGATTTAAGAGAGGCTCCTGAGAAATCTGAAACTTATGCAACCACAAGTTTATACTTCCAGAAAAGGTTGAGGGTAGCATTGCCCAAACACTTTGGGTAAGGGTTCTGTTTGTCTCCCAAGTAATCCTTGTTTTAAAGTAGACTTTCAGCTCTTCTGTCTACATATGGAAAAAACAGTTGATTAAGTGCGTATCACTCTTTAACACTTCCTTCTTCAAAGGATTGTTCATTTATCTTTTAACAAGGACTCCCCTGCGTGGCCAGGGAGGGACCTGGATCTGAGAGGGCTACAGCAGACACCAAGGAGGATGCGCTGATCCTCAGGCTGCAGGTGTATTTCCCCATAACAGCCCTGTAAGAGCCACAGAGCAGTTATTATGAAACCCCAGCGAAGAAGGAAAGGACTAACCTAAATCTACAGCCAGGGAATGGCCGACCTGCAGACAATACCAGGCTGTCTCCTCAGATTCTCTCAACCCACCTTCCCTGCCACAGGTCTGTTCCCACTCTCCTCTGCTAGGAAATGGGGTTGGCAATGGCTGGCCTCTGGCAGCTTGGGAAAGGCCCTTGCCTGAAGCAGATATTTATGCAAATTTGTAGGTCTCCCCAGCCTCCCGTCTTCTGCCGGGTTGACCTGGGTTTCCTGGAAGTTACACTGCTTGAAGGCATCTGTGAGTTTCTTCTGCCCCCCAACCATGACCCCCACCCTTCCGTTTGCCACAAGGCTGCTCTCCGGGAGGCCTGCTGGTATCCCTGTGCTGTCTGTGGCTGGGGCAGTGGCACTGGGGAGCCTCCCAGACTGTGCTGGAGCCAGTACTCTGACCATCAGGACCATGACTCCCTACATCGGGCTAAGCATGGCCTTTGGTCACTGTGTTAACGCAGCCGGAATGTCTTTTGTCCCTGGTCCCCCCCCTGGCTTCAGCCAAATCCTCTTTATCTTCTAAGGCCAGTTTAGATGCTTTCCATTCTCTAATGTCCTCCAGGACAAACAGCTGAGTCAGATACCCATTCTCTTCTCTGCTCTCCTACAGCACGGTTCTTGGATCTTAAGTCAGTATTCACTTTATTCTGCCTTTTGTTATTATTTAGGCATTGATAAGCTTGTCTTCCCTACTGAATCATAAACTTCTTGAGGCAGGAACTGTACCTAACATAGCTTTGTATCCCATACCCATGCCTAGCACTTAGTAGGAAACTGACTTTCATTTAGTGCCTCTCTGTGCAGGCACAGCGCTCCACACGTGCCATTCTTAAGCCCATTAACTTCAGAAGAATCCCAACAAGTAAGTAGTATTACCTTCAGTCTACAGATGGGAAGATGGAGACCCAAAGAGGTTAAATGACCTGCCCGAAGTCACACAAGGAATACTGGGTGAGGCTGAGACTTGAGTCCATGTCTTTGGAAATGGCAGCGTTTCCATCCTTCCTCCATTCGTCTCATTCCTGAAGTACCTTGGGAACTTGTCCAAAAGGCCTTAGCCCAGAACTGAGCTTTTAGTCTCTTTCAGTTATCCTGTTATTTGGTTTTCTCTCTACCTGCTTCCACACTTCCTACGCCAATTCCTTTCCCCATTAATGTGCTTTTCTGAAAAGTCAGACAACGTAAGGAGTACTATCACTGATAATTTCTAGAAGTTTCTATCCTACTCTATCATTTGCTTTGAGGAAACGGGAGATAATTTTCACTGAAGGGCCATTGCAGATGTTCTGACCCCTATCATCTCTTGGCCTCCCAAACAACCTACCTACTTCTCCTCTCACCCTCTTCCAATCCACTCCCAGATTTAGAGTGATCCTTTTAAATGACTAGGCTTATGACATGTCACCTCCCTGCTTCAAAAATCTTGCAGTGGCTCCTCATGCCTATTTCCCTCATCCAGGCCACACAGGGTCCTCCACGGGCCACTGCTCCAGCCCTCCTCATACCCTTCCCACACGACCCAGCACTCCAGCTGCACTAAACCACTGTGGCCCCTGAACACACACTGTGTTCCTCCGACTTTCCTGTCTTTACACCTCATTTTTTTTTTTGTTTGTCTGAACAGCCTTCCTCCTGAAATCGTTCTCCCTCCGGACAATCCTACTCATCCCTGAAAATTCACTTTTGCTCTCATGTCATTTTCTGTGCACCAGACCTCTTGTCTTCCCATCATTTTCCATCATCTCCCTTCTGTGCTCCCCCAGAACTTGATGTGTGCGTTTAAGGCAATGTTTATCATTGTTTATTATTCACTGTTCTAGCCCAAAGCACTCAAGAAATGTTTGTCGGATTAATCTATTTAGAAAACCGCCACTGAAGCGAAGGTCTGAGAAAAGAAATACATCAATATATGGTTTAGGGCAATAGAGATAAGCCAAATTCAATGAGTTGTTAGCACCTTATTTGTCCAGGACTAGGCAGTCGATGGACAGGTAATCCAAGAGCCCTAACCTCAGTGCACTTTGAAAACCTCGATGGGAGGAGATTTGGGAACCCCTGAAATGACAGAACCACATCAGAAAACAGTTATCCTCCTATGGATAAAGGACAAACACTAGTTTGTACAAAACAGATTACTAAATGCTGCTAATAAGAGCTCAGGGGCTTCAGAGAGAGAAAGGAGGGCATGGAGGGTGACCTGACCCCTAAAGGAGGCCTTATAGGATGTCTGATTGGCAAGATGATGATGAGGCAGGAAAGACAGTGAGTTATGAGACAACTTTGGACCTTCTACACTGGTAAAGCCCTTGGTAATAACAGTAGGTAATTCTAAGTATTTCCTATGGCCAGTCCACTGAATTTTCTGAAGAATTGGTACTTTGGATTCATTACCTGTTTTCTCTCATGTGGCATTAATCTTCCACATCCCTTAGAGAAATGGTATGGTCTGCAAGGTGGCTGCAAAAACTCCATACATATGGCTCCTTTTTTCCCATTTATTATCCCCAACTGCCATGCTTTTTGAGTTGTGTCTGATTTCTATGGTTTTATGCTTTCTCCCTCACTCCCTTTTGAAAGTTCTTTTTCTGCTTTCAGAGTGATAGCTATTTCCAAACTTTCTGCTTAAAAACTGTGGTTGGCTGAGAAAACAGATCACCCGCTCTGCAATCATGAAACCACCTCTGAAATACTGTTCCCATTTATAAGAGAAGCATAAATAAAATGGAGCCCTGTCCTGGCACTAGGGTAATGTTAGAATAGTACAAGGAAATGGAGAGAGTTAGTAACAGAAGAGAGACAACTTGGGCGGGGACATGATGGTTTTCTTCAAATATTTAAGGAGCTTTTAGACTGAAGTGACATTCAAGTCATTCTTTGACACAGCAGAAAAGATAACTGGAACCAAGGAGGGGACATGGTGGTGAAGTTTCAAGGAAGTGGATTTCAGCTCTGTGTAAGGATGTACTTTCAAATAGGAAGAATTTTGGAAAGTTGATATTACGTGGATCTTATGAGGTAGATACAGTATCGTTAATGGAAGCATTCTGGGCTCACTGAAGAAAAATCTGATCCCTGGATACTATTTAGAACAGATGAATGCAGCACCTGCTTAGTAATTTTATCACTGAGTTAGATGCTTGCTCCACAGCCTGAATCAGTCACACTTCTCACTCTAGTGTCTCTGGAATGTTCCCTGGCTTTAGGCTCCATCCCTCGGTACGTGCATACAGGCCCTTCACACTGACCTATCTTGTCAGGTTGAGTCTAGGAAATGAAACCAGGCAAATGAGTTGTGTCTGTGGCTATGTTTAACAGATTTAAAGAGGTACATGAATTTGCCAGGAAGGAAACTGTCTGCTTTTTTTATTTCCTTTGAAAAGGGATTCTTATACTCATAGATAAAACAATGTGTTATTTTTGTATCTGAAAAGGATGAGCGGACTGGGGAGTCAAAGTCCCTTCTTTAAATAATCACAGGTCTTGTTTGGTTTGGACTGCACACGAGCACATGAGCACACGTGGAGCCCTCCGAGGGGAAGTTCTAATATTAAAACAACAACAAAGCTGCTACTAACTAAAATAATTTCTGAAATCAACAGAGCACTCCTAGCCCACGGAACT